TCACTCTTGGTGGTGAGCATTTTACCGGTTTAGACAAATGCATGATGTGTATCCATCATTACAGTACCACACAGAACACATACACTGTGCTACAAATCCTCTGTGCTTTGCCTGTTCATCCCTCTCTCCCCTTAGATCCTGGCAAACACTACACTTTTTGCCATCTCCATAGTTTTACCTTTTCCAGAACATAATATATTCGGAATTTTACAGTATACAGCCTTTTCAGAGAGCAGCTTCTTTCACTCAGCAACATACATTTAAGGTTGCTCCGTGTCTTTCACAGCTTGATAGCTCATTTCTTTTCAGTGCTGAATAACAGTCCATTATCTGGGTATACTGTTTATTTATACATTCATCTACTAAAGAGCATCTTAGTTGCTTCCAAGTTTGGGCAATTATGAAAAAAGCTTCTATATACATCCATATGCAGATTTTCCTGTTTTCAACTCACTTGGGCAAATTCCAAGGAGCATAATTGCTGGATCATATGCTAAGAATACGGTTAGTTTTGTAAGAAGTTGCCAAACAATCTTCCAAAGTACCATTTCATATTCCCACCAGCAGTGAATGAGAGTTCCTGTTGTTCCCCATCTTCACCGGCTTTGGTGTTGCCAGTGTTTTGGATTTTGGCCATTCTAACAGTCATGTAATAGTACGTCACTGTTATTTTAATTTGCATTTCCCTAATGACATATAATGTGAAGCAGAGTTATCTTTTGCAAACATAGAGGTGATCATGTTATTTCTTGGCTCAAGGCCCTATGACTTCTGTCTATAGAATAAAATTTGGACTCCTTAAAAATGCTCCAAGATCATGCATCTCACCTTCCGGCCCCATTTTACTTATCTACATACCTCACCTCATCTTGCAACATCTCTGGTACTCCTATCCTCTAATCATCTGCATCTGCAGCTCCAGAGCACATCAGCTTCTACATTGTTGCTCCTGCTCTGCTCTACTTACTGTCACCTGCACACATGGTTACCTGACAAGCACCTAATTACCTTTCAACATTCAGCTCCAATATTAACCCTTCCACAAAGTTTTTATACTTTCCCCCACTACTGCCTACATCATATATTACACCTGTAACAATTTCATTTTTTTACATAGTTTTGACCTATTAAACTGAAGGGAGGACATCTGATCTCTATCACTTAGCACAGTGTTTTGCACATATTGGTATTCATTAAAGCTTTGTTCAATGAAAGAACAGATATTTTACTCTTTCAATTGATCCTCAGAACAAACCTGTGCTATAGGTAAGGTATAGTTTTAGACATTAATACATATTTGGTTATGCTCTGTGTTACCCTGTTTGCATTGCTATACAGTAATACCTGAGACTGGGCAATCTATAAAGAAAAGAGGTTTATTTTGGCTCACTGTTCTGTAGACTGTACAAGGAGTATAATGCTGGTATCCACTTCTGCTGAGGGCATCAGGAAGTTTACAATCTTGGCAGGAGGAGAACAGGAGCCAGCATGTTACATGGTGAGAGAACGAGAGAGAGAGAGAGAGAGAGAGAGAGAGAGAGAGAGAGAGAGAGAGAGAAAGGAGATGCCAGGTTCTTTTTTTTTTTTTTTTTGAGACCGAGTCTCACTCTGTTGCCCAGACTGGAGTGCAATGGTGCGATCTTGGCTCACTGCAACCTCTGCCTACTGGGTTCAAGCGATTCTCCTGCCTCAGCCTCCCAAGTAGTGGGACTACAGGTGTGTGCCAGCATGCCTGGCTAATGTTTGTATTTTTAGTAGAGATGGGGTTTCACCATGTTGGCCAGGATGGTCTCGATCTCCTGACCTAGTGATCTGCCTGCCTCGGACTCCCAGGTGCTGAGATTACAGGCGTGAGCCACTGCACCCAGCTCCCAGGTTCTTTTAAACCAGATCTCATGTGAACTCTCAGACTGAGAAGTCATTCATTACCACAAGGACAGCATCAAGACATTCATGAGGATCCACCCCCATGATCTAAACACTTCTCACTAGGCCTGCCTCCAACACTGGGGGTCACATTTCAACATGAGATTTGCAGGGGACAAAACATCCAAGCTATATCATGCTACAAAAGTTTGTTTGGAGGGATGTTGGTTTCTCACGAGAATCCTGTTCTGATTCACTCCAAATGAAGTCCACCAAAGTTTATCCATCTTGTAACATACATGCACATATGCACAGATTCCTATCTGCTACTAGTTTTTTTATAACACTAATAGGAAATGTAATTTGAGAATCTATCACAAGGTTGAGAATCAAAATCTATAAAAAAAAAAAAAAGAGAGAGAATCTGAATTGCATTGTACAGACTGCTAACGGTCCTAAAAGAGATGACATTACAGAAAGTTGTTGCTTGTAGCACATCTCTTTTGAGTGCTGTTGCACTATATTTCAAAATGATGAGCAATAAATATGGTGTCATACAAGGTACCGTGCTAATAATGTTGCTGGTGATAGTGGTAAAGGGTCATTACTCTTAAATAAAGGCTAAATTAAAAAGCTGCATTGCTTATGTATGACTTTGTATGGAGCTCTCTAAACTTAACCCCCTTTCTTTCACTCATTCAAACAACTACCTTTGGATAGCAATTTTGGATAACATGAATTCTTAAAAACATACTAATGCTATATCAAATAAGAGTGTACTATAGAGTTACCAGTGTGTGTATCCCTGAAGCCAACAGTACTCTTACCTACACAGTTGCAGCTCTAACAAGAGAAGTCAGGTGTCAGGACTGCAAAATGAACATGACAGAAATAAAGACATGAGTGCCTATGCCTGTCTGAGGAATTTGTAGTGTTTCCTTCACCACAGTGTTCTTCCATAGTGAGACTCTAAAAATAATAAGCTGGGGGAGGGTAGAAGATAAACAGAGTTGGAAGTCCTTCACCAATAATGAGAATGGATAACGCGACTATAAGCCAGAAGAAAAACAACAACCCAGTACATTAATCGTGCTGGAACTTCCACCATAAGCCTGGGTGCAGTCAATGCGGTAATTTCAAATATCCCAAAAGAACCGAGGTTGATAACCAAAAGTGAAAATGTTTCCCTCTAGAAGATAGTTCTGCTTCTCCTCAGGACTAGAAATCACCGTAGCAGAGGACAAAACGAGGCCATGAAATCCGGTTAAGCCAGAATGGATACCTAGAGGGTGGCTGAGGAGCAAACGGAAGCTGCAGCAAGCCAAAGACCTAGCTAGTATTAAAAGCTGGGTCCAAGAACAGCTTCTTGAAATGGGGTGTGGTATTGCTTAGTTGAGCATACTGTGGGGCTCAGGATGTTGGAAAATGAGGGGGCAATAAGACTTAAAGATGGGATGGGAAAATGATGCAAGAACAGTTAAAAAAGAAAATAGAAGGAAAAGAGAAAACTAAGGAAACAGAAAGAAGGTGGCCATGGTGTCTTATGCCTGTAATCCCAGCACCTCAGGAGGCCAAGGTGGGAGAATCACTTGAGGCAAGAAGGCTGAGACCAGCTTGGGCAACACAGCGAGACCTTTGTCTCCACAAAAAAATTTTTTTAAAAGATTAGCTGGGCATGATGGCACACATCTGTAGTCCCAGCTATTCAGGAGGCTAAGGTGGTAGGATCACTGGAGCCCCGGAGTTCCAAGTTGCAGCAAGCTATGATTGTGCCACTGCACTCCAGCCTGGACAACACAGCCAGACCTTGTCTCAAAAAAAAATGGGGGCAGGTTATTTCCAGAATTTTACAATTAAAAATATATCTAGCTATTAAGAGTAATAACACCAAAAACATTTCCAAATCAAATTTTAAAGCATTTCTCCCATCTCTTCTGAAAAAATTCTAAAAACACCACTCCAAAGATGAAATGGAAGTTAAAGGTAAACAAGGCAATAGGGCCGAATACATCATTTCAGTAACTCGGAATTTGCTCCATTCTGCTCTAAAGAAGCTTAGCTACATAAGAGCAGTTACAGTGGAAATTTTCCCCCAACGTAAAGATATCCAGAAGGCGAAGCTGCCATTAAAAATGCTGACACAGGTCTACATTTACTGATAGTGAGAAGTCGGGAGTCGACATGGAAGAGGGATTGGGAAATATTTTAGAGCCACTCTCCTCACGCCATCCAGGTACCGACACACTCGAGGCCACCGAGTCACCTGCGCAGCCTTGCTCTTCCAAGACCAACCCAGACTCCCCAGACCCACGGGCTTGAATCTGGAGGATAGCTGTCCGCGTGACAACGGCGACTCGGATCAGCACCCGTAGGGAAAGCTGGGTACACGGGGAGCTGGCGCCGCGCCTAAGGGAACAAATGCAGGGGCGTGTGTCCTGAGCAAAGACAGCCCGCCGCGCCGGTCCCGGGGCAGCAGCGGTCGGCGTCGGGCCGCACGGAGAGCAGGGGTCACTGGACTCTACTTGGTAGCCCGACGCCGAGCGGCCGCCGCCACTGCGGCCTCAACAAGGCCGGCGGCGGCAGCGCGGCCGGGCTCAGCGGCTCGCGGCCCCGGGCGCCCCCCCGTCGGCCCGCTTGCTAGCTCCTCCTCACCCGCAGTCTCGTCCGCTCGCTCGCCCGCCCACAGATCTACAGGGCCCCGCGGCCCCGCGAGCTACTCCACGGCCTGCACTGACCGACACTGAGCGACAAACGCTCCGCGGCCGCCGCGCCCCGCCCCTTTGTTACACCGCCTACCAATCGCTCGACGGCGCTCTCGCCGCCCTCCAATCAGCGCGGGCAGGGAGGGCCTGGCCGCCGGACGCGGGCGGTTGCCGGGGCTCCGAGGCCTTCTTTGTGTTCCCTGGAGGTTGTCGGTTACGAGGCCCGGATGTTGACCTTTTATTACTAGCCACACTGGACAACTGACTTGCGCCCACTCTGGCATCTGAAGGGCAGCCGCATGGCCTGCTGGGAACGGCGGGGTTGCCGCCCGAGCGCCCTCCGTGAGACCCACCGGAGATCCTCTTCCAGGAGCCTGATTTGCTGGGGATAAGCGATGCAGGCAGAGGCTGTCCAGTCGGTGGCCTCTCCAGAACCCGGGGCACTCCTAGTGTGTTCTGGCCAGCCTGCCCTGAACAAATCCCCTTTGGGCTTCACCGTTTCTGGCCTCAATTGCCTCATCTGGAAAATGGGGGCATAACCATGCCTGGTTGAAAAGGGCGAAAACAGGTAACTTTCTGTAGTCTTCAGCCAATTTAGTGAGGACTGTAGGCCAGGCGGTGGAGTAGGCACTCTGGACTCAAATCCCAGCATTGGGTAAGCCCAGCGACGCCTCCTGCTCCAGTTTCCAAGCTGCTGAGCTGCGGTGTAAACTAACTGACTTCAAGACAACGCCTGCCTTTCTACCTAACATGGGAGTCCACTGCCCCGTTCCCCCTACCGATTTTCCAACTCTGTGAACCTCCTTCACTAGGTGGGTTATTCGGTTGAGAAAGAATGTCATCTCGCTCTCACTGGGGGTTCACTCATCCTCGACTTCTGGCTCCGAGAGACCAATCTAAGATGAAACTAAACACCTAATCTCTGTCTCCTGTTCTCTTTCATTCTTCTGAGACCCTACCACCAACCTATATCCACAGTTCAACGAACTATTGAGCATACACTGGGGAGTATGGTGAGTCACTAGGCTTTGATACACCAGTCTCTCTTGCCACTGGTTCTTTCACAAACTCTACATATGCTTAATGCTGATTAGATTGGAGCCCCTTGAGGACAGGGCTGTGATGTGTAATCATCTTTGCATTCCTGACACTAAAATAGTGCTTATGATGGAGACTGAGTAAAAACCTTAGCGTTTCTCATCCCTGCCTCCCCACTTCATTCACACTGGAGAATTGACAGCATGGACTGTAGAGTCAGGCAGGTGTGTTTAAAGCCTTGGCTCCCAATACTGGAAGTTCCATTACCTGGCCAAGTCATTCATTCTTTACATCATCATCATCTTCATCATCTACCATTCTTCAAGTGCCAGATAGTTGACAAGTGTCTTTACATCTTCTCTCCCCATCTCAATCCTGCAAAGTTAGTATTGAAACCCCTCCTCTACAAAGGAGTAAACAAAAGCTAATTAAGGTATAACAAGTTGCCTACAATCAAACAGCTCTAAGTAGGAAAGCCTGATTTAAATCTAGGACACAATACAAAAATCCCAATCTCGTTCCATTATTCCACATTGCTTCCAGATTCTAGCTTCATTTGTAAGATTAGTATTACTACATTACCTATCTGGTAGACCATGGAGACTGAATAAATTTCCTACCATTAGAACTTTTATTTTTTTGGCATAAGTTCTCTCCCCCTTTCAAGCCTCTCAAAGTCGCAGTTTGCACATTTTCTAAACCTATTGTCTCCTGAATGCCTTGAAATCAATCCTAGTGATTGATGAGATTTAATTGTTCCAAAAGAAAATAATCATATTTAACAAATACTGACTCACACCCACATTGGGTCCTAGAGCAAGAAACTATGTGCACAAATAACCTAAGGACAGAAGGAAGATGCATAAAATGAATAGGGGAAAGGAATGGGCATCTAGCACGTGCCCTTGTCTGTCATCATGTCCCTCTCACAGCAGACTTGGTCAAATGGTTGACCTATGGGAGCTGTACAAAATCTTTGACTCTGTGTATGAGCAATTCCCCATTCCATCTTACAGTGCCCAAGTTAGAAGTTAGTAGCTCCAGGATCACTGAGACCAACCCAGGCAGCCTACGAGACTGTGCCCTCGTGGCAGGCTGAATAGTCAGCAGTAAAACAGAGCACCAAAAAAACACAGACTAGAATGGGGTCAGCCATCCAGGTGGCTAGTAGCTACTGTCTTTGAGGAAGTAGATAAAGAAGATTTTCATTACTGCAGAGTTCTATGGGGCAATGCTGACATTTCTATCCTCAGCACTTCCCCCTGCTATTACCTAGGTTCATTCTGCTGCTTCCGTAAGACAAGGATGGAAAAGGATGCCTTAGAGCAATGGTCAGCAAACTGTTTATGTAAAGGGGCAGACAGAAAACATCTGAGGCTCTGTGAGCCATCCAGTCTCTGTCATAACTACTCAACTCTTACACTGGAGATAGGATGAAAGCAGCAATAGTAAGTAAATGAATGAGTGTGCTGTTGTTCCAATTAAAACTTTATTTACAAAATCTGATGGGGGAGGGTGGGCATAGTTTGCGAAACCTTGCGTTGGAGGACATGCAAAGGCACCTTCAGAATTTAGTGAAAAACCCCTCCCATATTGCTAAGACTCATGAAGTATATAATCTCTCGTCTTTTTTCTCTTTCACCTGCCCAGGCCCTAAGTTAGGGTTCCCATCCATGTAACAAAGACTCCTGGTCATGTGGCATTTACTACCTCTGAGATACCATGCCTAACCATGAAAGCCACAAAGAAATTTCTTCTTTTACACGCCCTTAAGCATATTATGGCCCCACCAAGGCCAATGAAATAAACTGTGGTTTAAAAAACAGAACAAACCAACCACTGTGAAATATTTATTTTTGTTTTGTGGTGTTAAGCATGATTAAACCAGTGCAGAAAAAGACTAAGTACATTGGGTAAAAGATGAGCTAGCTGTTCTAGTATTTGCTTTTAGTAATCCAGTTAAGACCATGAGCATATACAGCAGCATCACTAACTCAACAATGTAGCTGAAGGGTAACATGTGGATACCCTTTATGCTCTACTGGCCTCCAAAGGCATTCAGGGGATCATCAAAGATGTTGGACACCTTGTGTTCAGATCTTGGTTCAGGTGCTGCCTGTGCAGATCGGCTTTTTGGTTTCGTTGTCTTAGCCTGGATACCAGAGGAGAAGATGTCATCTTTAGAAAGAAAAAAGAAAAACAGTTGCTGAAGAGGGTTGGGGAAAGGGCTTTTAAGACACATGCAAGCAAACCACCAAAGACACAACTCTGGTAACAGTACGGAGTACCCCAAAACACTAATCTAGAACTCAAGCCTCTTAGATTCTGGTCCTGGGTCTGTTACTCATTAAGTTTTATGATCACACACAAGTTTCTCTTGGAGCACAATTTCTTCAGCTACAAAAGTGTATATATGTGTGTGTGCAGGACAGAAAAAAGGGAAGAGTAATTTGATCTCCAAACCCAGCCCCATGACCCTACCATCAGGGACAATGGACTTATTTATATATTTTTTTTCACACTGGGTTTTAAAAGAGCAATAAAAATATGCAAAGGGAAATCCAATATAGGATTCATTCTTTTTCTTTCAGAATAAATGCACTGATTTGAGGCATCTCAATAGTAAGACTGTAAATCTCTGTCACTGTATTAGTGCTTTAGTGTTTCACTGACTCAAAAGCTTGTCCTACCTAATTATGTTACATACCCAGTAATGGTACTGTTAGGTATCCAACCATGATTTTAGCATGTATACATAAAGTTAGCTGTACATAACTGTTAAAGACCACGGCATTATTTGTAATAGAGAAACCTTCAAACAATTGAGATCGCCATCAACAGGCTAATGGCTAAATACAAAGAAATACTGCACACCACTAAAAACAAGAAAGGAGATCTCTATTTACTGACATGAAAAGACATTAAGTGACTACAAGGAAGAGCAGAATAGGTAAAGTATATTCTTACTTTTTAAAAAAGTTGGGTATATATTCAAGTGTGCACAAACATATGTTAATACCACTATGTCCAAAAGGATACACACCAAGCTGTTACTATTACCTCTAGGGGTTATTCACCTTTTACATTTTCTGAATTATATGAATCTATTACAATAAGCATGGATTACTTCTTTTGTATTTAAAATAATGAATTCTCTTCTGCATCCATGTGGTGGGAAGTAGGGGAAACAGAGCACATGGCTTGCTGGAGGCACAGAGCCAGTGTGGCTCTGCAGCACCAGCCATCTCCCAGAGGAGAGTAGGAAATGTGTATGTGGCATCAGCCCAAGTGCGCTCTACCAACGCAGGATGTATCGAAAGTCTAATATTTAGGGTTCTTGGGCATTTGCCTTGTCTACTAACAAAGCACAAGTTTTGCCATGGAAGGAAGACCAGCTTGTTCCCAAACACTGAAGCCCTCAGTGAGATGAAACGCCTAAGTCAGAGCCTACACCTGGGTCTAGTCTTGCTCTCCTCTCACACAGGACCACGGACACTCCCTCTCCAGCTGGAGCTCCGACTCAACCAACCATGTCACACCCAAGGCAGTTCCCTCAGCCTACTTTAGCATGTGAGGTCATTTCTGATCGATCCTCCTTTCATATTATCAGGTTGTGTCACAGATGATTGGTGAGGTGCACTGAGACAAAAGTTAAATTATATTTAAACGTCAAACTCTGGGTGCCTTCAAATTCTTTGATGTCCATCATAGGCAACAGTTACTTCACTAAAATAATTAGTCCATCTCTTACCTATCTTCAGCCTAACTTGGGATTACATTGAAGGAAACCCACTAGGGTGCATTTTCCAGAAAAGGTCCAAGAAAAGGTAGCAGGAAAAATACCAAGTGATGGAAAGGTAAGGATTCTCTAGGTCAAGATGTAACCAAACTTACCCATATCATCATCAAAGATAGACTTGGCTTCCACTTTCTTTTTGGACTTTTCTTTTGGTTTTACAGTTAAGTCAGCAAAGATATCAATGTTATCATCAAATAAATTGGATTCCAATGTTTTCTCCTTCTCTCTGGTTTTTTGAGAGGGTTTAATTGCTTCTGTAGCAAATATATCATCCTTGTTATGCCAAAAACATAAACAAAACAATGTTAAATTAATTTTTCATTTTAAACTTTAAACACTTCAACAAGCCATGGAAATGCAAATAGCCAGGGTGTGGTGGAACAGCCTTGAGACTGTCCCCTCTGCCTGGGATGCACTACCCCAGATCTCTGTACAGCCTGGCCCACCCATCTCACCCCGGCTCAAGCACTGGCATCATAGTGACACCTTCTCTACCAGTCCTGCCTAAAGGAGCACCTCCTACCCCTACCCACCACTCTGCTCCAGGTTATTTTCCTCATGGCACTTAGTACTACTTGAAAACATCTTCATTATACATTGCCCTATTTGTATTTGATTATCTTCCCAGAGAGCTCTGAAAAGCCTAGCACTTCTCTGAGTTCACCTTCTGCCTGTAGTCCCCAGGTGCTCAATTAACATCTGCTGAGCAAATGCCACTGAAAGGCTTATTGCCGGCACTAAATTGTCAGCTCCAGCCAGGGCCTATGTGCCCAGAACCAGAGGTTAAATTCCCAAGCTGGACCAGTATTGCTGTATGCATGTCACTGTGTGGCATGCCTGAGAAGCTGATTACAACATTCTATAAAAAAACCAAAACTATAAAAACTAGAGCTATCAATGATTATGGCCAGCCAAGAAATACCCTTTACATGACAAAAACCTTTACAAAATACCCTTTACAAAACAAAGAACCACTTCTGAGTCAATGTTAAACTTACTAATAAAAGAGCCTAATTATAATTACTAAGCTATGGGACATGCACCCAACAAGCTAAACATAATCTATGGCTCAAATGAGCCAATCAGATACCTTCCTTAACTTCAGACACAAAAACATGTTAAGTCCTGTTACCTCAAAAATATCTTGTGTTGTTGACATGACATCCTGCTGACTATTGGATTTTGACTCATTCTTCCTGACTTTCTGATCTGTAAAGAGATCATCCTCATCTTCCAGGAGAGGAAAGGGATTTGTTTTCTTTGCTGGTTTTGGTTTAGCAGACTGAAAGAGATCATCATCACTGCTGGCCTCCCCTAGAGCAGGAAACATGGGTCTCTTTTCTTTACCTCCCCCTGGTAGGTTGGCAGGATTCTCTGCTATCTTTGCCTTGGGTTTTGTTCTCTCCATGGACTGAGATCCAGTGCCCGTGGAAAAGATGTCCCTAGAATCAAAAAGGTCAGCCTCCCCTCTGGAATGACCCAGAGACTTTGCAAAGAGGCTTCTGTCTACTCCAGGCACAGGACCACCTTCCCAGGGTGCAGTAGCAGCTTCCAGGGCCTCCTCAGTGCTGTCTTCTCCACTGGCTGCTCTGAGCTGTGGCCGATGGCCATTTGAGGAAATGGTACCGTCAGCCCACTGTGCAATGGGTCCTCTGTGGACACTCATGTCCTCAGCCTCGCTTGACTCCTGGGCAGCCAGCCGCCTAGCTGCACGTGTCTGTGGTCTACGCTTCCCTCTCATCTTCACACGGCCCTGCCATGGCAAAAAAACACACATTGATCTCATGATAAAGTGTTCAAAGCTACCATGGCAAAGAATCAGTGACTCAAAATATTGTAAGGTTATCTGGTCTACTTCAATGAAGATATTATCTAAGAAGAAGAGGTTATTTCTTAATGATTTCCAAGGAATGAATTTAATAGCTCCTATACTCTAAGACTAAGTCATTCTTAATCCTTTAGAGTTCTCCATTTTTTAATCTTTCCAGGGCAGTTTCAGTTCAGTTTCATACAAAAAGTTTCATCTGTGGCTGGAAACCTGGAAGGTAGGCATGTTGGTGCTCTATGTCTCACAACCCCTCCCTAGGCCCCTACTCTGCCCTCAATATAAACCTGGGTATCTTTCAAAATAAGATAGAATCGGGGGAATTCTGGTGCTAACTTTTGTTGGGGGGCTAGTCTAAATTCAGCCTCTAGGAGCAGGAAAAAATTTAAGACAATAAAAAGAGGTAATCTAAGGTGCTGTTTTCTTCAAGTCATTAAACTGAAATGTTAAATATTCCACATAAGAAATATGGCATAGAAATCAGAACTTTTAATATAATCTCAAAACATGAATCACTTAGTAGTAATGATGCAGCGATAATTTACAATACTTTCCAAAATACACAAACAAGTAGAATTTTGAGAAGCTACAATCTACTTTGAGCAAAGTATGATTATGTTTGCCAACTTCAGGGAAATTTCACAATTTTATCTGCCAATTTAAACTTGACCAAAAAAAAAAAAAGCCAATAAAAATGTAACAAAAGGAAGGATGTTTTATTTTGTACAAGGAAACATCTGGAAACATCTGAAATGAATCTGTTTGCCATGGTTAGGTCATTATGTCCTGTCACTTACTTGGAGATCAGCTAAGGATGTCTATAGAAGGGAGATTGGATAGAAATAAGAAAACCAACTAAAATGAAAGGAAAACTTCAAAGGGTTCACAGTCCATTAAGGAGATCCTGTGAAACAGTATCGCTGCCATGGGATCTGGGAGAGGGAAGCGCAGGGCACAGTGACACAGAAATGGGGATGCGGATGCACAGCTGTGGACAGAGAGGAACATTCCTGGTGAGGAGGCAGCAGGAGCCTTAGGCAGCAGCAGGACAGACCATGTGTGTTCACGGAGTGGCACCTGGTGTGCCTGGAATCAGGCTGTAAAGTGTGCAGCGACTAGTGAGAAAGCTCCACACATGGGCTGGCACCGATTGTAAAGGGGTTTCA